TAACATTAATTAGGGACTAGTATCAAATCCATCCCCTAAATTTTTTCCTCCCACAAAATCGACAAATACTAATTTTCAAGCATTATGCTACTAGAACAATGAGAGAGAGAGAGAGCCCATGTCAACTCTATGCATTCCATGTGAAGCAAGTGAATTTCAAGAATGTCTTTATCAAAACAAAACCGAGGAGAGTTCTGATTGGATTCGGATCACGTTTCTGGACTACGATTCGGCCGTTTGTCACGATCCTCATAGACTTTTTCATCATTCAGCTCTTTCTTTTATTATTTCCCGAACTCATCATCTTAAGTAATCTTGATTATACTAAAAGAAAGAAAGCAGCCTTTCACTTTTAAAAGATATTCTTTGCCCCTTCAAAATCCACCAACAGAACAAAAAAATTATTATGCATTGGCCCCACCACCTAAAGTTTGGTCCTGTGAGTCCACATTTAGACATCTAAACCTGTATTTTCTTTGTTCATTCCCTTTAGAATAATCTCATTTCAAGGCTGCTTTAAACCACACGGGTCGCGCCCATGCAACTGATAGAAGATTATAAAGAATAAACCAAAGTCTCATCATCAAAACGGAGGGCATTAGGTTTAGAACAAAGATTGTTGCCAAAAGAAGTTTGAGGAAGAAGACAAGAAAGCGAGCTGGATATATTCCGGCTCTAAGCAATGATTCTCGGCAGAATCTTGGAGCGTGTTATTAGGCGGTCGGGGTCCACTAAATACACAGCTTGGGATTATCCTAATCTCGTAATTAGGGCAAAAAGAGGAAATTGACGTACACTCTTCTGGACCCCCGTTTTATTTTCTAGAAATCTCGTGATTCTTAATCAGTCCGTGCTTGCCGTCGTTCCGTGTGAATACTTGCATTACTATATGCTTCTGGCGTCAGCTCCACGAGATCAAAGTTGGTCTCCACCTCGTTCGGGCAGTTGAAAATTTTGGGTTCGGGTAATTTGGTCGAAAAATATCGGGAACAACCACCGGCGAAGAATCAGAAAAGAGAGGAGGAGAGAAGCCAAAAAAGGAAATGAAAATCATGCATGCATGTGATCTATGATGGTCAACTTGTAATTGATACTGCCACAAACTCGTGTCTCCAAGAGCACTTAGATTCATCACTCGTTTTTAGTCTCGTAATTCTTATTCTAACTCTAATGGAAGGAACGGATCGCTTTCTGGGGTACTAGAGGCGGCCGTGGAGAGTTGAATCCCCGGCATAAACATCATTTTTGTAGAGGAAAAGTCATGTCCACTAGTACGATAATGCAGGAATAATGACGAAAATGAGGTTTTTGATTTGTACAAATCTCGAAGTGGGGAGGGAGAGAATAACCGCATCTGATATTTGATTAAATAAGGAGCGAATGGGTGCAGTGTTTTTCCCAGAATCCGAGAATGTTTTTCGTCACGAAGAAGGAAGCGATCGTTCTGATCAGAATGGCACGTCCGTTCATGTCACTTGGAGTTACATTTCACCTGCGCCTATCGATGTAGCTCAGTGGCTCTGCATTCTATTGGCATTCCTCGTGTAGCCGGGAAAAGGGCAAAATCAAGAATAACCCGCTGAGCACTCACTTTTCTTGGAGAGCGTGCGCCAATAAGTTTTATTGTCTTGATAATATCTTTGGAAGGTTATCCGCCATTGGAATTATAACCCTGACATCACATAACGCAGTGATGGTATAAGGCGATCCTTAAAAATTTCAAATCCATCCGGTGATTTTCAGATTAAAAATTAGGGTTAATATTACCAAAAATTACAAATTTATATATCTATGATAATTTTACCCCGAATTAATTTTTTAATCACCAAAAATTTCAAATTGGTACACTTGAAACAATTTTACTTCAAACTAATTTTTTGACTACTAAAAACCCCAAACTGGTACATTTGTGACAAATTTACCTTCCGTTAGTGTCCGTTAAATTGGATTAATATTATGAAAAATCACAAATTGATAAACTTGTGACAAATAGAGGGGTAAAACCCCAAACTGGTACACCCGTCAACTACCATGTGTCATCAAACGTAGCAATTTGACAGTAAAATTTAACGAAAACTAACTGGGTTAAATTTGTCACAAGTGTACCAGTTTGAGATTTTTTGTGATCAAAAAATTAGTTCGGGGTAAAATTGTCAAGGGTGTACCAGTTTAGGATTTTTTGTGGTAAAAAAAATAGTTCGAGGTAAAATTAACACAAGTGTACCAGTTTGAGATTTTTTGTGGTCAAAAAAATAGTTTTGGGTAAATTTATCACATGTGTATCAGTTTGAGATTTTTCGTGATATTAACCCTAAAAATTAAGGGTTATTCATTCAAATCTCATTAATCGTGTGCAAGTTGCTTTAGTTAGGGCTATTTGCGCAAGTGAGAAACTTGATCTTCATCTATTAAAGAGGCTTAAGGCTTATAGTGTGTAAATGAGTCTCTAAATAGTCATGTCTCTGCACCTGTACTAGTAGATTATCAAAAGAAGAAAAGATTTGGGTTGTTTAGATTTTCATGTAAGTACTAAATACATGACTTTCTAGGTGTTTGAAACAAATCTACGGCATTACAATATTTATTTATCCCTACCTTCATCAACTGCAGTTGGATCATCCATTGCTTTAAAACGATTGAACTTCATATATGGAGAAGAATTGATTGGTATGAATGAATTGATAATCTAGCATAATAAGGCTATAACCAAGTGATCAAGAACAGTCAACGAGATCTTAGTTTGACTTGTTAAGTGAAATCAAAGTGATGCCATAGTATCCAAATATTTTTTAAAGCTTTTATAGGAGTATACATACTTCCTTGAAGGATACGAAGAGGGTTTCTCAAAAAATACTATTAGTTATTCACAATCGGTAAGACAAAACAGAATAGGAAGAAATTGGGGTTAAATGGATGATATGGAAAGAGGAACAGAATAAGAGGTTTTATTACGTTTATGTTTTGTGGTTGCGAAATCGTGTAGAAGAATATCAGGTCATTTATTCTCTTTTGCTTGAAATTTTTTTATGAAAATAATATATATAGACACACGTGAAGTACTGATTGTGGAACGCTATTGATCAAATATGGCGTTAGCGGAGGAAGTATATATTCTACAAGAGTCCTGGGTTCCGTTTGTTTCGCGAAAAATAAATGATTTGAAAATTATTTTTAAAAAATAATTGATTGTATTGATTGGAATAATTACTCAATGATTTTTTTTTCATTTTCGACAACAATTTATGTCTAAACACTTTTATGGACGATTATGATATTTATTTTTGCGATCAATTTTGAGAAAATATTTTTCAAATAATTCATTTTCTACGAAACAAACGCATCTAAAGGAAACATTTTCCAAAAAATTAGTGTATTTTTGTGTTAGCCATTCAATATATCTAAAGGCAACAAAAGCAAAAGGAAAAAAATATAAGAAGAAGCTCAATTTCTGTATTTGTATGAATTGTATCTCAACATCTTCATTGTGATTTTGTGTTCCAAATTTGCAATGTCTCGCAAGTACCACTAACACACAATAAATTCCACAGGAGGTTACCAACTTATAGTTCACCGAATTTTGATTCTAATTGCTCAATCCATTGAACTTTTGGTTAGTTTCCATCAATGCACTTTGGTTGAAATAAGGTCGATATTTCCGTTGAACGCTAGCATGGTGTTCAATACGGCACCGTATAATCGCCAACGCTAAAAAAACACACTAACAATAGTAAGAAGCCAAAGAAAAAAGAAAAGAAAAGAAAAGAAGGACAAAGGGGCCTCACATCGATGTGGAGGAATGCTATCGGCCCTCTTCCCGCGGAAAGATGGCCAACCCTTTATTATTGTTGTGAATGACCGTTACCACCCTCCACGATAGAAGAGAATCCATAACCCTAAATTGTCAATGCTGGTGAAACTCCGCCCCTTTTATTTTCTTTTTATTTAGCTATTTTGTTGTTCAACTTTTTTTTCATTCAATCTTTTCATGGTCAGCTTGCCTACAAGATTAGCTAGATCACAATCGAAAATCTATCAATTTCAAAAGGGTTAATGACATCAATGGTCTATAAACTTTGATTAAATGTGCAACGTGATTTCTGAACTTTTAATTTGTTCAATATAGTCTCTGAACTTTGAATACATGTTCAATTTAGTCTACGAACCATACTGAGATGTTTAATATTCTCCTTCCATTAATTCAAGTTCAGGCACTAAATTAAATATGTACCAAAAATTTAGAAATCATATTGAACAATTTAAAATTCAGGGACGACAATACACATTAGGCAAAAATTTGAGAATCACATTGAATAAATCAAACGTTCAAGAATTATATTACATATTGAGATAAATTTTATGAATTATTTGTTTCATTTTTCTTAATGCAAAGAGGTAGGGAGATGGATGAGGAGTTTATTTAAGCTCCGTTCGTTTGGCAGAAAATATTCTCCTTTTGGAAAATATTTTCCCGGAAGTCATTTTCCTGGAAAATGTTTTCCGAACATAATTTTCTAGTGTTCGACCAATATGAAAAAGTTTCGGAAAATATTTTTCGCGGTGAGCGACGACCGGGCGGCGGCGGCGGCCGACGAGGCGGCAGCGGGCGGCCGGCGACCTTAGTGAAGAAAAAGAAGAAGAAGCTCGAAAAATGATTTTCGCTTTGAAGAAGCGGAAGTCATTTTTCGTAGACTTTGCTATTTTGTAAAGGGAAGGAAAATATTTTCACGTAAAACGTTTTTTGCCCCCGAACATCGGAAAACTCGAAAAATATTTTTCGAAAGAATATTTTTCGCCAAACGACGGCGCTTTAATTAAAATTCGAGGTACCACATTGGCAAATGCGATTGCGGTTGGCGACGGTAAAATTTTCCCCCGCGGACGCGCGGCCATGAGGGCGCGTGGAGGAGGAGAGAGAAAGCCTGCGGGAGCTTTATGATCTCCATGAAATGAAAGCACTGCTTTTCTTTTCTTGCTTTCGAGTTTTCTCCTCATTTGTACGCTAAAATTGCGCTTCTCAATGCATCTCCTCTTGCTTCTGCATCGTCCATTTCTTGTTTCTCGCACAAAACAAAACCAAACCCTACTCTGTCTCTCTCTGTCTCTCTCGTATTCCATAGTCCACTCAAACATGAATGATTGAACACTGCTTTCACAGTTTGCTCAGCTCTCTCTCTCAGACATCCTCCCTCGTCCTCGCCCTCGCTCTCGCTGTATTTCTATATATACAAAACTACCGGCACAAGACACAAGACACAAAGAGCAACCACGAACTGTTGCTCTCTTGGTATACGCATATATAATGGAGGGACTGTACGGACTGCACATTCCCATGGAGGCTGTACCGGAGGACCTGCAGGTTTCTCCGGAAGAAAGTAACCGTAATCATCATGATCATTATCCTTTTAGTTTTTTTCACCCGCAAAGCTCGACGTCTTTTCACCTGTGCGGGCCGGACCACCAGTTGGTGCCGGGTTCGTCCGCCGTATCCGATGCCGGGTCGAGCATGGTTGTCGTTGCGGACGGAGGAGGAGGAGGAGAAGACGAAGAAGATGATGGCGACGCCTCGACAACGCTTCGAGCCAAGATCGCCACGCACCCTCTTTACCCTAAACTGCTCGAGGCGTATGTTGATTGCCACAAGGTATGGTTATTACGAGTCTTTGACCTCCCTCAGGAAAGTAGTTTTTACTGTTTACGAAGATCAGAGTTTCGAAGCGGCACTTACGGAAAGCCTATAGATGTCGTGTATTGAATTAATTCCCGGTTCTTTCTTTTTTCTTTGCGCCGCCCGCAGGTGGGGGCTCCGCCGGAAGTAGCGGGTTTACTGGACGAAATCCAGCGACAAAGTGACGACATATCTATGGTCACAGGATCTGTTGACAATTGTCTCGGTTCGGATCCCGAACTTGATGAGTTCATGGTCCTCTCTCTCTCTCTCAAGTTTCTGCTTGTTTTGACTGAAACCCTAGTCAATTTTAACTCAAATTCTTTCAGTTTTCTTGCTTTCGGACATGGACGTTGGACTTGGTGGCACCAGTTTGGTCTTGTTTTGTTTTGGTCCTTTTCCCTTCTTTTCGGATCTTCTTCTTCTTTTATCTTCTCGAGGGCCAAACTCAATAATCTTTATTTAATTTTGTTATGGGCAACTCAAAACTGAATGTCAGCACTGATCGTTCTTAATTACGTAGGGAACTTACTACAGGATGTTGGTGAAGTACAAATCGGATCTGTCAAAGCCGTTCGAGGAGGCAACCTCGTTCTTGAACACCATGCGTGACCAGCTCAACACTCTTTGCCACGGGTCGTCTTCATCGACCAACTATCTTCATGGTCTCTCTCTCTCTCTCTCTCTCTGTCTCTCTGTCTCTCTCTCTCTCTGTCTCTCTCTCTCTCTCTCTGTGCGCTGTTCCCTAGAAGATGTGGCGCCTTTTTTGTTAGGTAATATACATTATAAGCCACTCGGAGAAGAAGCAAAAATCTCTACTCGCTGTGGAAATTGACTAAAAGAAAGCTTCCCAAAGAAACCCTAACAAGGAAAAGGCCTTTTTTGAACCTCTCTCTTTTGTGGTGAATGTGCATTCAAGTCCAATCTTGACATTGACTAAGAGAATGTTGAAAAATATTTGGTTGCTGGTGTCTTGACTCTCGTACTTATGAGTCGCGGTTAGGTTAGAGTCGTAAATAACTGATTCGCTTGCCTTGAGCCGCTCTTAAATAGACTAATATTGTGCTAAGAATGCTGAAAATGATTTATAAAGTAATACGAGTACTTTTCATTAGCTGTGTTGAGTCTGGCATATGCCTCGTTATATATCAATTTTTGCAGATTACTTTAATATATACTTGATTTTACTATGTACACAAGTGGGTAGAGATTAGTTTGTACAGTCTATTGTAAGGTACGGCATGCTATTTAGAGGTATTATTAGAGTATCAAAAAACTTAAGTTGACCAACTTAAGGTACGACATACTATTTAGAGGTATCTTTGGAGTATCAAAAAACTTAAGTTGACTTTACGAAAACATAGGTTCGTGAAAGTTAGTTTTATGTAACTTGTGTAATAAAGAATAGAACCTCCTTTTTAATCTGCCTCTTGAGGTTGTTTGCCATTGAAGAAGCTGGTTTTGATAGCCTATAATGGACAGTAAACTGTTGTGCATATGATTATGAACTAACAGCCAGTCAATCAAGAGCGCTTCTTTTTATTTGTTTGAAATAGTGAAGTAGTAATTTGTCACAAATGAAATAATTGATTGCATTTACTGCATTTACATTCTCTGTTCATTTTAGTGTTATGTCATCGAGGTTGGCATTTGCTTGTAAATTGCTGAGTGCCTTTTGTTTTCAGTCTTTTGAGCATCTAGAATGTCAATACATGCTGTCCAAATTTTGTCTGGCCACCCCAATTTAGTTTTTCCAGGTTCTTTCCTTTTCTTAGGATAAGGAAGCCCGTCTTAGATGAGAAAAATTCCTAAAATACAAGCGAAAGCTACAATGGTTTTCGTGAGGCTGAAAAGGAACTTGGGAATGTGGAATGAATTAATTGGACCAAAATCGCCTGAAAGAAACCAGCTGCTGGTCTTGGCCAGGGCTTTCATACTCTATTCGTAATCACTAAAACAACTTTCGGACTCCAAGTCCCTGCAAAGACACATGGAGTGCATCTTAGTATATATAATTCCATTACATGGACTGCGGAACAGATCTTTTCTCAGAAACCTTATTGGTTTGGATAAAGACAATGTTGATGTTGTCTGATTAAATCTGTTGAGTGCCTAGTGTGTGTGTGAGAATGCTGTTCTTTGCTTTTGCATGTTGTGATAACCACTCTGCTCTTTTTATATCCCTGCCACTATCATGGCAGTTTTTGTGCATCACTTCATGCTTTATAAGACTGGAGCCCTTTAATTACTCTCAAACTTTTTTTGTTTAGAACGAGGATTAGTACAATTTTCAAGTTCCTAAGGAGAATGGCCCTTGCAACCGGCCATGGCTAGAAAATATTATTAACCTTCTTGAAAGTTTGTTTTAAAGGTGGACTTGTACCTGCATGTCGGGATTTGAAGATCTCAAATTGTTCTCTTGCACGTGAAATAACTCATTAAGAATTCTTATAGACTGTTGAGAGTATAAGTGATAGAACATGAACTCATGGGCAATTGCCAGTCATATCAACCATCAGTGGTACGAGATTCCTTGTCGAACTCACAAGGAGCACTAATATGTTGCATAACAGGTGCAGTGAAAAAGTGTTAAGAGTTACAAAATATGGTAATACTAGCTATTGTAAGATTGGTCTTCGTAATTGGTATCATAAGTAACCGAATAGATAGGTAATGACATTTAAATAAATGGATCGTATTCAACACTTGGTAAAAGTTTTCCACTAAAGTCGATAAAACCAATTCCGTAAACCTGGTTTTAGAATACCTAACAGAAACTGTGCAATATATAATGTTGGCTAGTGTGCCTGTCTTTCCTTTTCTAACTTCAGTCCTTACTTTGATTAAATCAATTTGCCATCCATTTCCTGCTTTTGAGGCTGCATGCCTAATAAAATAATGATTCAATCCATAGATCTCCACTGGGGACAGAGGAACCTTGTCCCCAACTTGATGCTTTAATCTTCTTCCTTTTAGTGCACTTAAGGAAAGATTGTGCACGACCTCATTGCCATGGTCTATTTTTAGCATCTTTATGCAATAAAGCTTCCTCAGAAACCATTGTAGTGATCTGGTCCTCAGTTTCTCCATTTATAAGTTCTGAGGCTATCAGCTTGAGATATGTTAAGGGCATATTCAGTGGCTCGTTAAGGATACCGAGCACGTGAGAGTGTACTTGGCTGCTCTCGAGTTTAATTAGTTTATTGTAACAGTGTTTCTGGCTAGCTGTTTGAGTTTCTTGTGAGCCTGCCATCCCACCGAAACTGAATGACAGATATTCCTCGAATGTTCAGGTCAAATTAATGTTCCGTAATCTTGCGTCGTAGAAACCTCTAATGGGACATGTTTATGCGATTTGCTGTAGTCTTATTGTTAGTGCTATGACTCATCAATCTTTTCCAAATCAGTATCAGCTGGATGTTCCTTCTCGGCTGGTGACATGGAGCAATTCCCTAATGATATAAGATACATGATCATTGGCACTCGGCTATTCTATGTTTGGAGCTTTTTTTCTTTACATCACCGTCACTTAGTTGTTGAAGCAAATGTCCATGGTAACATTCTATTTTGGCCAACATTGCTCGACTCTCTATTTACAGTAGTGCTGACTATAGATGAGTTTCATTATCTATAGAGCCACATGAGTCAATGCTGTGATTTTGGAGGCTTATGGGTGCGTTGCAAACTAATATTGGACATAAGTATTGTCCCAGTCTTTGTTGTCCTGTGAACATTTCATCACTTGAATCGGGGCATAAATCTCATTTGTGTGCCGTTTCTTCCCTTGAGCTTTCCCTCTTTAAACCGAAAGAGCCAAATTTTTTTAACCGTCGCATGTCAGTAAGGGAGGATGCAAGAATTGCTTGTGACCTAACACATTGATGTCAAGGGCATATTATATGTTGAGCTATGTCATACTGCATGGGCTCTTCTCCCTTGAATGACTTTTTCTTGTTGTTTGGTGAAAAGTGTTGTGTAGAACCGTTTTGCAGATGATGTCGTAGGTAAAAGAACGGTGGCATAGAAATTGAACTGAACATTATTTGTTTTCACGGAGCAAACATTATCACTTAGGTGAAAATGCACAAATTGGCCAATCTCCCTGCAACTCGTTCTTTTTTGCATCATTTTATGATGGCTTAGAATATGTAGGAGAAATACAGTAGTTTTTTTATGTGAACGAGGAGAAATACAGTAGTAGAAAAGAAGGGAAAAGGACAAATCAAAGTGAGGAAGAAGTTGGTCCCGGGTTTGACGCTGCGCTTGTACCTTTTGTCAAAAGAACACATAGAAATGACAACATCTTCAGTCTCCTCTTCTTCTGCGAATTTCAGGGTTTCCAGATTTTAAGGAGTACTTCCTTAGTTGGCATCTGACCAGGTCGGAGGGGGTATGTCCGTTGGGTTTGAATTCTCTGGTTAGAGATGAAGACTGTCCAGTGCCTGCAAGTTGCAATGTGACATCCGTACGTCCCGCGGACGCAACCCACTGACTGGGACTCGACATCACCCACCTCCTCCATCCTTTCTCTGACCCCCCCCCCCCCCCCCTCCCGCTCTCTCTCTCTCTCTCTCTCTCTCTCTCTCTCTGCAGGTACAGATGTGGGTCGTGTTGCATAGCATAAAAGCACATTTGGGTTCAGTGTCCCATCTTCTGCAAAAGACTATCCATTCTGAGCTCATTTACTCGGCCCATATCGAACTCTTTCAGACAATCTTGTTTGCGTATGACTTACTCTTGCCTTACTGCCTGAAAATAATAACAGAAGTTTGAAAGAATTAAAGAGAAAATGTTGCCGAAACGGGTCGAGTCTAATCGAGTGAAGGAATTGCTTTATGTTTAGCATGGCTGCGCCTTTTTTCTCTTTCTTAAATGTGCTGCTCCTAGGATTTGTGAGGGTGAGTCCTCTCGATTATCTCTTGATATTTATGCAATGTGACATGAAAATTTAATTTGCCTTGAAATTGAGAATTTTGCTCTTGATATTGAGGATGATGTATCGTATGGGACTCTTGTTATGTATCTTATGATTTGTAATGAGCAAATTCAAGAAATTGATCATCCTCCTGATGAGCCTGGCATTTCCCTTTTCTGTTACTAGTGATGGAAGATTGTGCTGGGTCATCTGAGGATGATCTTAGTGGAGGTGAGATCGATGTGTCGGAGGGAAACCGGTCCAGTGAAGACTGCGAACTTAAGGAAAAACTCCTGCGCAAGTACAGCGGATACATCGGGGCTCTAAAGCACGATTTCTCGAAGAAGAAGAAGAAAGGGAAGCTGCCACGGGAGGCCCGGCAATTGCTGCTCGATTGGTGGAGCATTCATTACAACTGGCCATACCCCACTGTAAACATTTGCACTCTATACATACTAAACTAATCCTGAATCATCTATTAGTTGATGGGGCGGTGAACTAAAGTGCTTGGTGTTCCTGAATACATACAGGAAGCGGACAAGCTCGGATTGGCAGAGGCGACGGGGCTGGACCAGAAACAGATCAACAACTGGTTCATAAATCAGAGGAAGCGCCATTGGAAGCAGGCCGAGAACATGCCATCCGGCATCATGGAGAGTCTGTATGGACCGTTATTCGCAAATTAGTGATATCAGGTGTTGGGTGCAAGATTTCTCACGTAGGATCACCTGTATAAGTTACGGAACCTTGCCTCTTGGTTTTCCATGCAATTGAAAATACTCTCCTCTTTCTTAATTCGGGGGGCATCGGCAGTGTGTCCTAGTGTTTGCCTTTACTGATTGGATGATTGGTCCAGGACTGTGACATGATCACTCCTGATGATTTCTTTCCTATCGATGTCCATACGTGATTGAATATGACTCTGGTAGCATCGGGCGTGGTCATGATTAATGGAAATCGCTATGGGATTCAACTCGGACGTGGGCCTTGCAGGGAAGGCCCATATAAACAAGCAGCCCTCCATCATGAATGATAATGACCAGAGGAGGCCCTTAAATGGATTCTCGAGGGATATATAATGAGGTGCCCCAATGTCAAGATTCAAAACTTCAATGTTAATGCCTTGTTTCATAACAGAGAAGGAGTCGTGAATAGACTTCGGGGTGATGACATGGTCAAAGAAGTTAAAATGAGTGGGGCTAAAATATATGTTAAAAGTAAAAGAATCGTGAAGCGTAGGAGGAGTATGAAGTTGACGGCGAAGACTAAGGGTGACGAGTGTTGCTAAATGGTGGTTGTATACCGAATGTATGGAGAATTTTTCTGCTTCTGTGGACAGTCTTTAGTGCGCCGTCCTATCGAGAAAATCCTTGCCTGTTCGATAACTTTGGCTTCTTTCGTTGAGTCGGCTGAAGATTCAGAGAGCTATACATTGAATCAGGCGTGAGTTGGTGATTCATAGTGGTGGGGTTGACAGCGACGAGTGCATTCCAACGTTGGAATATTAGGATAGTGACATGAGCCATCATTTCTGATAACAATAGCTCTCCCCACGCTCAACTCTCCTTTTCGCATTATTCCCAACGAGAGCCTTCATTTTTCAATGTACATCTTAAGTCATTGAGCCGAGATATTGAACGACGACTGAGTGTATTACCATCGTCTAGTTATATCTAAAAGAGAAGGGTCATCATAGAAAAGTCGTGGCTCCGTATGTGCAAGGAGGTCAGTTTTCTGACCTGCACAGCTTAAGGTTAAAATTATTATTAGTTAACTTAAATACGTACACAAAAAGGAAACACGAAAACTAAACAGCGTCAGTGAGTTTATACACGTTGAGCAGACATAATCTTTGCACAATAGTGATACACAAAGACAGTGTGGAACAGAAACTCTCAGCTCGGCTGTCTGAGCTTGCAAAACGATCTTAACGTATTCATTTTGCAAAAGAAAAGACTACGGAGTAGAAGAAAGAACAAAGGAATACTGGGAAATCAACTGAAAACTCAATGAAAACATGGAAGAACACAAAAATAGTCAATATCTCCTCATAGCGATGTTCTGTCTGGACTTTCTACATCCATTTTGAGCTGGAAGATGCATGTGCTCGATGGATGCTTCTCGTGCGAAGGCGCCAACCAGGAGTTCATTTTCCAGTAGTCGCCGTTGTTTCTTCTCTTTTCATTTCCATGGATCCACATCTCTTCTCTCTTGAGCTCGGCCCCGCTTCCCTCGGAGCTTGATATTAGGACTCTCCTCCAGTTGCACCAGATTCTGACCATCATGTAAAGCATTGTCAAGCATATCAGTGCTGAGACAAAGACGATAGCTGCCACGATCCCCGCGACCTCACCTTTAGACAGTGACTTCTCCATTGCTTGTGAGGAGCACAATGCTAATGGTGGGCCGCAAAGCTCCTTGTTTCCGAGGAAAGAGCTGAGTGGGAATCCTGAAAAAGTTAGAGGGAGTCGGCCCTGGAGATGATTATTTGACAGGTTCAGCATGTGAAGGCTTGTCAGTTTTCTTAGTGAAGGTGGAACTTCTCCTTGAAGCTGATTGGAAGACAAGTTTAACCTCTCTAGCTTCACCATATTGCCGAGCGAAGAAGGGATCTCGCCCGAAAATGAGTTCCTGCTCAGATCCAGGATCACCTGCAATTCAGTTAGCTGTCCTAGTTCGGATGGTATCGGACCTGTCAAGAAGTTCTCTGAGAGTCTCAGTTCAAAAAGCTTTTTGCATTGCTGAATTGTGGAAGGAATGGTGCCTGAAAGCTTGTTCTTTTGCAAATCGAGGACATTTAGAGCGATTAGATTTCCAATCTCCAGTGGAATCACTCCGGAGAGATTGTTGCTATGGAGGGAAAGCTTGAGGAGCTTTGAACAATTTCCCAGCTCACGCGGTATTGATCCTTGTAATGCATTGGATGAGAGATCTAGCTCCCCGAGTTCTTCTAGTCCCCCGAGCCAGGAGGGTATGGCGCCTGTGTAATTGTTGTTGCTAAGTAGGAGGTGTTCGAGTTTTCCACAATTCGATAGCTGAGATGGCACATTTCCATCCAAATTATTGAAAGAAAGGTCTAGAAATGTGAGCTCGGAGAGCTGGCCGAGCTGAGAAGGAATGTTGCCAGTGAGATGATTGTGGGCAAGGCGGATACGGGTTAAATTCATTGACATGCCCAGTGTGGAAGGGATGGGGCCTGAGAAGCTGTTGTTTGTAAGATCGAGCGCGGTCAACAGATTTAATCCGCAGAGGGCAGTTATCGTCCCTTCAAATCGATTGTGGGAAAAGTTGATTTTCCTCAAGCTCTTCAGAAGGAAGAAAGATTCAGGCAGCGGACCCTCCAAGGAGTTATTGTAGAGTGTGATCGTGCTGAGTTCCGAGAGAAACTGGAAAGTGGGTGGTAAAGTTCCGGAGAGTTTATTATCGGCTAAGGCCAGCAGCTGAAGCTTCGTGCAGTATCCCAAACTCGGTGGGACTGGACCCGAAAATTCATTCTGCCTCAGATGAAGCACCACCAGATTCTTTAGCCTCCCAATCGTAGCGGGAATAGACCCGCTAAAGTGGTTCCCAAAAAAATCAATCGCAGTCAAGCTCGAGCAGTCGGTCAGCTCTCTAGGAATGCTTCCCGTCATCTGGTTGTCATACAGGTAGAGGGTGCTCAACTTGTCTAACTTGCCGAGTTGCTCCGGAATACTGCCTGTTATCATGTTATCAAAGAGATAAAGATTTTCCAGGGTGCTAATGTTCCCGATCTCAGGTGGTAGGACTCCGGTGAAGCTATTGTTGTTGAGAAGAAGATCGGTGAGCTTCTGTAGCTTGTCGAGGCTCGATGGTAGGGACCCTTCAAAGTTGTTATCCGATAAATCCAGCTGTTGGAGTGAGGAACAGTTTATTAACTCCAAAGGGAATTTTCCGGAGAGTTCATTTCGAGCGAGAATGAGCTGCTTCAAGCTCGAGCTGCTCCAGCAGAAATTGTTCGGTAGTCCACCCGTCAACATATTATCGGATAAGAACAGAGCGTTTAAGTTCTTCAATTGGGTACTGGAAAGGCTAATAGACCCGGAGAGGTTATTTTCCGATAAGTCGAGCATTTCGAGCTGAACCAGCCCATTGAGTTCTCGAGGGATCTCACCTGTCAGTCTGTTGCTGAGCAAATTTAAGTACCTCAAATTAGAGAGACCACCTATTTCAGTTGGAATTGGTCCAGTGAGGCTGTTGTTCGCCAAGTTAAGAATTTGCAGTTTCTTTAGCGATCCCACCCAAGAAGGAATGTCCCCTTCCAACATGTTGTTGGATGCTGCAAAGTTTTCGAGCACTTCACAGCTGCTAATCTCTTGAGGAATCTGGCCGCTGAGGCGGTTCTTCTGCAAGTCCAGAGACATCAAATTCTTCAAATTTCCAATCTCAAGAGGTATACTCCCTTTGAATTGGCAATAGGCAAGGCCTAATACTCTTAACTCCGACAAGTTACCGATATCCGGGATGATCTTGCCGCTTAAGAGGTTATCTCCTATTCTTAGGACTTGCAACTTTTTCAGCAGGCCTAATTCCACGGGTATCTCGCTGGAGAGAGAGTTGGAATAAAGGAGGAGCGACTTCAAATTTTGAAGCTTTGAAAGCTCGGGAGGGATCGAGCCGGTGAGGGAATTCGATGATAAATCAAGCATCTCTAGTGAAGCGAGAAAACCATACTCAGGTGAGATTGTACCCGACAGCCCAGAATTCGTCAAGTTCAATCCCACCATCTTTAATTGATCATCTGAACATGTGACCCCATACCATCCACATACATGAACTTCTGGAGACCAATTGTTTAGAACTCCAGAAGGATCATTCAGTTGTGCCTTGACTCTTAGAAGCCAGTAGGATTCTGATGGATCATCTCCTAGAGAAACATCAAGAACAGCACCAAGTATGCTGAAGAACAGCAGGAAATGAATCATTTGTCTGCTTTTCATTTCAGAATGATGTGTGACCAGCTCAATGGCAGTTCGAACTTAAAGTGTTGTATGCTGATTCCCAAGATTCTGAATCTGTACTCGAGAAATTTGATTCCATGCAGAGTTTAGAATTTTAGCAGGCAAGAACCAGCTAAAGTAGTTGAAGCTCAAGAGACAGAAACAGCAGAACAAGAGGTGACACAAGAAACAGAGAATTTGAGGAGGGACAGTTGGAAGAGAGATGGAAAATTTTTTTAGAGGGATGAGGCAATGTGTCTTGAAGTTTATATAGCTCTATTACTTAGAGTTGTTTATTGAGCTGTTAATGGAACTTAATTAAGCTTAAGCCACTCATATCATTGAGAAAAGCAGTGTGGTTTTTTCCTTTATATTTGGCTAAAAGGCATGTGAGTTCCTTTTTCCTACTTTTTTTCTCAAGCAATGATGGAAAACTTTAGCATGCTATTCAGCTTCTGAGATGAGACAGTATGTGGGGGATAAGATATTGTGATGGGCATTGCCAAAAGACCAAAAGAGTTGAGGGAGACTGACCCACTAGTACCTACTAGACAATCAAGAAGTGGACCTTTCCCTAGGCTTATATTTGATATTGAAGTCTATGTCAACTTAAGATTCGATCCATGATGAATATGAAATATAGGATGATAATGAAAAGACGAACAGATCTTGCATTAACAGTGATACAATACATACGTTTCAGAAAATCATATCAGTCTTATGGCAGAACATAGTATGATAAGATGATAAATTCCAATATGTTTAAGGCTGTGAAGAACTTAAATTTTGCATCCAACAGCTCAGAAAGGATACCATACACCTTTCTTTTTTTTCTCT